CCCTGGCAAAGCTGCTGCAGAGAGCAGGGAGTGGGTAACGCAGCAGTCCCTGCTGCAGGAATGAAGAACTGCAGTAATGCAGAACCCGTGGAGACGTGCTCAGAGACGTGGTGGTGGTGCAGGAACACTGCTGGTTTCAGCTACTGACAGGGGTTACTAAAAGTGCCACGAATATAAAGCAAGCACAGGCTGCCAATGGGCTGTTTTGGTGTTTGGAGAGCAGTACAGGGCTGAGGAACCGCAACCAACTTCAATGCAGCTGCTTTGCCAAAAACAACATTTGTCTTTGAAGAGCGCAGGTCAAGCCAAAGAGAGAAAGCAAGCTACTCTAGAGTGTACAACAAATCTCAAAATAAATTAAACACAGTTGCAAAGTTAGGTTTGGTCAACAAAGGCTCAATAAATAAACAAACAGCAACAACAAAATATTATTGGAAAATGACCCTTAAATAGCTTTTTTTTTGTTTTAGCCCAGGGGAGCTGCTGCCCCAGAGAGGAAGCTGAGCAGGGCAGTCGATGCCTGCTGCAGCCCCATGGCCTCCTGCTCCCCTTCTCCCTCCGTGGCTTCTGGGTGGCCTCCCTGCTGGCAATGTCACACCCCCCTTCTTCTGCAACCCCCCCTCCTTCTGGCCCCCATCACCAGCCCACCTACAAAACTGACTCTCCTTGCTTTTGCCCCAGGCAAGGAGTGTGGCAAACATGCCTTCTGGGGTGTAAGGGGGAAGGAAAGGGTGGGACAGAGGATACAAGTGACCTTGGAAAAGCAGGTCCACCCTGGCCAGCAGACAGGACAGCTGAAGCCCAACTGCCTGCAGCTCACCAAAACCAGAAAAAAGATCTTAGATACTTAATCCACATACATATGGCCACAACCACAAGCTATCTTCTCACACTCTTCTTACCTTCCAAGCATCTTGCCTGGGCCTGACCTAGTTTCGTGACACTTGAAACACTGATCAAGAGCAGTGATCTGAGTCCCAGTCCCCCCTTGCCTGGGCAAACACACCACCAACCCCCTCCTGCTTTGTCTGTAGCTAAAAACCCCACCAGATGTTTATCTGGGGATGTTTCGCACTCCAGTATTTTTTTGAGTAGCTAAATATTTTGTCCTTATATTCTTACTTCAGTATAGATTTTGCCATTGGGCTTTTAAGCATGCATTTTAAGTGCACTGACCCCAAAAAACATGTGCATTTCTAGATACGACATCTGTAACTGGGTACTAAAACAGGTTTCAGTATTGTCTATAATTTACATATTACAGTAGAAAACCACATATATTATTAGCAAACATCTTAGGTGCAATGCCTGTTGCAGAATGGACCTGAATCATACGTGACATATCACAATAGTGCATAGAGAGATGCAAAAATCATTCTTCCAAGGAACAGTAATGTTGCCTGACATAAAACATGTGAAAAGCCCCAAAGAAGTGGCGTAAGGCCACTGCAAAGAGGTCACCTTACACAGCCTCTAAGAAGCTGAGCTACTAAGAGGCATGAAATCCTCTGGGATTCTCCAAAGGAAATCCTCCTTGCAGCACTTCAGAAACACATCTACGAACTAGACCTGAGCAGACCCACCTCCCAGCACCAAGCCCTGCAGCACCTCTGTGGCCAGTGCAGAGCAGCACCTGCAACTACCATCTCCTGCCTTGTCTCCCCGCTGTCCTATTCAACTTGTTCGACTGCATGAACCAACGCGGGGGATTCTCCTGTCAGGGAGTGCTCAGAGCCAGGCTCCACTGGCTGTCAGCAGCTGACCCCAGCACAGTCTTCCCTGATCTGTTTTGGGAGGAGAGGAGGCAGATTTCTTGAGTTGTGACCCTCCTGCCACTCCGAGCATCTAGATTTGCACTCATTCTTGTTCCCGTGTAAAAGGGCAAGGGATGAAAAACAGAAGAGCGACACAAAAAGACTTCTTGTACAGAAATTCATACTTAAACCTCCTTCAGAAGGGAAACAATAAGATCATTCAGAGATGAAAAAGCAAATTCCAGTTTCTCTACAAGAAGCTGAGAACATGAGAACTCTTGCAGCCACTCATAACAAATATGCTACTTCATTTAAAGTTTATTTCCCCATATGAATGAATCAATTATCTTGGAAACTCCATCACACACAGGGCAGAAAAAGTTATTTACAAAAGGGACATACATCCCCAGAATAAGTTTAAGGTGTACAGATTCATAATAGGAACCAAGAGGGAGAGGAGAGGACAAAACCAAAACCAAGGACATTGCAGTCTGACTTTGACTTTCAGTTGCAAAGAGATCTCTATTTCTACATAAGGGGGGTTTTCAACTATTAAATAAATGGCATCTTAAAAATAGAACATTTCACAATTTCAATACATGTATTATTTCTTCTAAATAAATATTGCATGGAGATGCTGCTGCTTTGCCACCATAGCTGCCTCCTCTCCTTCTGGGACTCGACCATCACCTCTGTTTTCCCTCGGATTCATAGTTTTGTTTCCTAATAGCAAATGCTATTTCCTCCACTGTTATGGGGTTTGGGTTTTTTTTTTTTTCCCAAAGGCGTAAACGGGCCCAAGTGAAAACAATGAGCATCTTTCCTAACCCTCTGCAGGCCTCTGACCTGGCTCAACGTTGAAATACAATGGCTTTTAAAAAAAATTACCTATTATTTAAACAGTCTTCTCCATGACCTGAAACAAAATACAGCTTCCTGCTATGTAGCGTGGTACTGACGCTTCCACTCTTTTGCTTCATTTTGAGATGCTTCAACCTCTTTTGAAATGAGAGCCCCTGTGAGTAAGCTGCTCTCCCACAGGAGCCTGGGCTGGCACCAGGGAAGGGTGTACACAGAATGAAAGTGTGAGGAGGATCCCTCTCCCTAACTCACCTCACACTCTCCCCTAACACTCTGCTATGGTTCCTGCAGGCTCCCTCAGCGGTTTTCAAATCCAATAAAGCTTTCTTCCTTTCCTTCTTTCCTCCTCCTCCTGCTCCTCAGCTGGTGATCCTAAAAATAGCTTTGTTTGAAGACAAAGTCAGAAGGCATCGACCCACGAGCCTGGAATCGAGCTCCAAGGTGCACGCCAAGGCTCCGGGCTGGCCGGCCGCCCCCGCAGCAGGGGGTGCTGAGCCCCCCTCTGCCCCGGCCTGCACACAGCACTCAAGGGAAGTGTAAGGGGTGACGCAGGGACGGGGGCACAGGGACCTTCCTTCCACTGCTCAGCACAGCTTATCCCTGAAATGCACTAAGGCTTTTAATAAAGTGAACGTAGGACAGTCCCCTGAAGGAGAGGGAAGACCCAGGGCCTGTGCTCGGCACTCAGGCAGGGCTGCAGCATGCTCCCACCAGCTCCTCCCAGAGGCAGGATGACTCCAGGCTTCCTCGTGGCAGGGGTCACTTCTACAGAAACTACTTTTGGAAATGCAGACCCTTTGCTGATATTTATTTACTGTCCATTTTTGTGAGTCTCAAAACCATGAGCAGATTTTTACATAGGAGGTGGCGCTGCACATGTGCAGACCTGTTCCTCCGTCCTGAAATTATGTGGAAAAGGTAACTAATTCTTTCCTGTACAATTATTTTGGGATACCATCCTCTCCACCACTCCCACGGGTCTGTCAGAGATAGGGCGAGGGATGGGGGAAGGGACCAGAGGGCTAAGGCACACATTAGATAGGAGGACAGCAGCACGTGGCTGTCACACAACAGACAATCTTTGGGTAGGGAAGGGTGCCACCTGCCTGGCTACAGGAGCGCCGTAGATGCTGCCTTCACTGTCACCTGCAAAATCTCCATTCCAAAAACGCGGCTCCTGACAAGGAAAACATGCTTGCAAGCACCTAATTATTCCCTTTCGTGTTCCCTTAACAGATTTCTAAGTCACTGTGCCCATCCTGTAGTTTGGTTCAGAAAGAGCATGAGTTCTCTCACATGAAGGATGCCCTACTTTGGTTCAAATCCTGCTCCTAGATATTCACCAAGACCAGTAACAGTTGCAGGCAAACATCCAAATGCAAAATTTGTCTTATGTTCCACATCCAGCAACTTAGGCCCTCCTTAAAAAGAAACGATTCCTCCCAATGAAAACTCTTAGACTCAGGACAACGTCCAAGCAACCACAGTGACCCAGTCCAGCTGTCCACCCCCACCCACCAAAACAACAAAAAGCCACCAGACAAGGAGGCTTTAGTGTGAGTGACATCCCTCCACCACAGAAGAGAGGTAGAGCTGTTTTCAGCCACACCTGGTCATTTTGCCACCCCAGCTGTGTGTAGCTGACAAGGCTTAAACTGAGCAAGATCCTGCGCAGCAGAGTTCAAGCGCTAAGGGCTGTGTGTGCACGAGCGTGTGGCAAGGGGGGGGCACCAAAGCAGCAAGGACTTAAAAAGTGAACTTGTAGCACTGAAGGCAGTGGCTTCCCCCAGTTCTCAGGACAGCAGGTGGCTGACAAATGCAAGAGGGTGAAGTTGGAAAGCAGGCGAGGCAGACCACTTTGCTGTTCTTGTAACAGAATGCGGTTTGGTGCTGATGAGGTTGTGGATTGCCATCTGAGGAAGAAAGACACCAAAGATTGCATACATGCTTGCAAAAACACCTCTCCGACGTCTTCTGGGCACACAACTGTTGCAGACTGTGGGATGTTGCATAATAACCTCTTGAGGCAGATTTCCTTCTTGTCGGCACTTCTTCATGTGTGATTATTGTCCTGCTGGTTATTCGTAGTAGAAATGTTTACAGACCATCAATACTCTGAGCTAGTCAGACAATTCATTGCACTTCATCATTTTAAAGGAAGGTGCCATCAGCACTGGGGCTTTCCTCCATCTCTTCTTTTTCAAGGCAGCAAAGTGCTACCCCAAAAACCACACTTCAAAGTTTTTCCAGTGTAGCCAGATCCCTTCCACCCTGACTTATTTTCCCTTGCAGGTGCTTTGTATCCAATGATTCAACAAGTTAGACTGTTTCTGAGGCTTCAAAAGTGCAAAAAAGTTCAAGGTACTTAACCACCTTGAGCACCAGTTAAGGCGTGTTTGTTTCCAGTCTCAGCCACTGCAAACCCTGCCTCGTGTAGTGCACCAGCTCAGCCATGCTGCTGTTCAGAGCCAGAACACACGTCGCCGCGCCGAGCTCAGCAAAAAACTCTGCAAAGAGGGGAGGGAAAATTGGTTGGTTTTGCACAAGAAGCACCTGTGGGAGATGAGGAGCAACAGCAGCAGCACGTGGCCGGCAGGTCCCACTGAGCACCCTGTCCTGCAGGGCTCAGCAGTTCCAGGGGGCTGGGAAGTGCCACAATCACACCAGGCAGGGCAGGGGAGGGAAACGCACTCCCGGACGCAGACACACCCTCAGCTGTAGGTGGGCAGAAGTTTGGGTGTTCACACCCCAGTCCCTGCCACGTGGTTTCCCCAGATTTTAAACAGGCCATATCTGAATGTCTTTCTGAGTGATGCCACAGTTGTCGTTGCACTGGGCCCTTGCCTTTGTCCATCCTCAAACCTTGGAAACATCATGATTTCTCAGCTGAACAAGTTTAAACATCTGTGTATCTTGCCAGGCTATACAGCTCTGATTTGAGTTGCTTGTAGCTGGGCATGACAGGCAAATTTAACAGAATCCTCCTGTCCTGCCACTGGCTTCAGGCATTGTGCTCCTCTCCCCCACGGGCAGCAGATGGCTCCTGCAGCATATCTGAACCTGCTGGGAGGTGCCCCCAGGCTGCTCACCCTGCTCTGTGCTCAACAGCCACCTTCCCTACCTGCCAGTGAATGGGCTTGACCCAGTCCCTCCGTCCTTCCAGCCTCTGTCATATTGCCAAGTACCTTTCCAGACACTGGCCGCTCAGCTCTCCTCTTTTTACACACAAACATTGAACCTGGAGACTGAACATTTCTGCCTGGCTGTGCAAGGAATTCTTCAGGAGCAGAGAACACAATGCTTTCATTCTAATACTTTCCAATTCAGAAGCAGAGAACACCTTTCCCCCTGATTTTCCTGCCTTTATTTATGAAATGAGTATCAATTCCCTTCCTGGGGAACAGAAGAGCTGTAAGCAGGGATAAGGAGTCCAAACCCCCTGCCTAAGCAAACAGAAGATAACCTGATCTGTGACCCACCAGAAGGCATTTCAGCTCTGTGCAAGTGACTCAGACATCAGCTACAATAATTGCTTTGCATTAACTTATGACTTCCCTTTTTAAGGACATTTGATAGCTGAAGGCTGCTGCTCTTCTTATGCCCTATGAATTGCATAAAAGAATCAAGGATGTGGCAGGGTTTTTTTTGTAGTTTTAGGTACTCAGTCTGTGTACCTTCAAGTATCTGTATGTTACATTGAATATCAACAAGTTGGAGCTCTGAAATTCCTCCACCATCCTGAACAGTGACAACTGCCAAGCCTACATGAGTCCTTACTGTTCTGCACAGATGCACTCCCCTGGGAGTATTTACTACCCCAGGCATCATTCTCCTACGTGAAAATGGCAACACAAAACAGGTTTTTAATTTAGTCTTTACTGATGCAAAATTGTGCTCAGGCTGCCCTCCCACAAGTTTTCCTTCATGACTCATTCCTCTGGCTTATGAGCAGCATCCACTGCTCCTTCCATGTGACAGTCTTTGATCAGCCTTTTGAGGCTATAATCCAGAATACCACAACTGCTGCTGTGAGCACAGGTTTGCTCAGAGGACAGCCATCAGCTGGAGTTGTTTTATTCAAAGGTGACTCACAAAGCCTTCTGAATTTCAGCAACTGCCTCATGAGCACATTCTTAGCCTTCTGATAATTCAGCTGGGCACATTGTGCTTATTTTCTTCTGCGAGTCTGCCAACAGATTGTGGCAATCCAGCCCTGCACTCACAGTGGCTTAGTAAACTTCATGGTTTATGAAAAATAACACTGCAAATGACATGTAAGATGGCAAGTTACAGACTGACCTGACCTACTGTAGGACTTCTGCTTATTCACCACTGCTTGTACTGTAGGACAAGACAACATTTTTAACAACAAAACTGTAAAAACAAAAAAGTAGCAGCAAACTTAGGAACTGTTATGAGCAAATACTGGTCATGCTCTCAGCAAGGACTCCAATTCAGGTGCTGCTCAGTTTCTCCGTTACAGAGAGAAGCTTGCTTCACTGTTTTCAAGACAAAAGTACCTGGAAATTTGACAAACAAACTAAAATACAGGGCCAGAAGGCTGTTTTTAAAGAAAGTGAACCAACTCAGGAAAGCTAAGTGCCTCAAAGAGAAAAACAAATGGCAAAACCCCCTTATGATGTTACCACCAAGTGAGCTGGCTGCTCTCCTGCAACTGATACCCTCATCCCTTAGCTCTTAGACATTTGAGGATGCCAAGACAACCATTTAATTGGAACATCCATCAATATATCACCATCGAGTACCTCTGCCAATTAGCTGCCAATATGCCATAGCTGTCTAGTTCAACATATTTAAATGCTTTGATCTTTAGGTATGGTGTTTGCTACAAGGAACGTCAGGGTTTAAGCGAGTACGTACACAGAACCACAACACCTAATGCAGAAAAGACAGGGGGGAAAAGCTTACCCTTATTCTTTCTGGCCAGTGCATCAGCCTGTTCCCAAATATCATACGCACAGAGGATATGGGAAGTGATGTTGATGTAGGAAGAGGTGATGCTTGGGATATTACAGGGGATGGTGACTGAAGAGCCAGTGCTGTTGCCACTGCAGTTGCTAGCGTTTGATCCTGGCTGAGAACTTGTAGAACCAGCAGGAGAGGGCATTGGAGAAAGAGGAGAAGGCATGCCTGTGCTTCTGCAGGAGAAAGAAACATCATCAGAACATTTAACTTCAGTCAAAAGTCTTGCCACAAGACTCTGTCATACCAGGAGCTATCTGCTATCATCCAGGTCTGCAGTATGGGGTGAAGTGTTGAAAACAGAGATGTGTTCAGCTACATAAGTAATTGTCCTTTGAATGCCAGGCCAAGGTTTTTGAAGTGATTTGTGACTCCAAAGATTCCTTTTGACAAATGAAAACGTGGGACTACACATCAGAAAGGGCCACTCATCCACCTTCCAAAATCTGCATCTACTTGTGGAAGCCTTCACCAGATTATTTAAGTGTTTTTTTCCTAATGACTTCCATTTCAGGCACACTGCAGCAGCCCACATGGAGGCTGGAGCTTTCTGACAGCTAGTCAGAGCAGCCAGGTCAGCCTACACACGCTTATTTATAGCCCTAGGGCAGCTACATGCTGTCAGCTGCCCACCTTCCAAACACGGGCTGGCTTCACCACATTGCTTCACCCCCACCACTTCAACCAACCTAATTTTAGTCACTGCCATGAGAGGACTTCCACCACTGCTTTTGGGAGACCATTTACTTCCCAACAAAATACACTGTGCAAGGTGGTTGAAAAATATCTGGAATTTCAGCATCACTATTAAAGACCAAACAACCCTCTCTCATTCACACAGCTTGAAGGGGATGGGTGTGGAGCCAGGTAGCTACCTGCCAAGTGCAATTACCACAGCACACAGATAAACACCTCCTTACTCACTGTCATTAAAACAGAGGCCCAGTCTGCTGGGCATCAGGCCAAGCACTGCGAGGTGACAGCTTGCCATGTGCTGCCACACACACAGCAATGCTGCTGCAGGTCCACAGAAAGGACAAAATGCTCAATAACTCAAAAATCAGAAAACGAGTTTCTTTTCCTTAATTGCTGACTGAGCTAAAGAGAAAGGTATTAAAGTGTCACCTCAAAGTTATACTACCACAGGATGAAAGCACAATCCTACTAGAGAGTGGCTGGGGAGATAGGGACAGTATCCCATTAAGTCTAGAGGGATCTCTAACAGAACAAAGGTGACAACAGGGGCTCTGAAACAGCACAGTGAGGATACTGTCCTTGCTCCCCTAACTTGCTTCTCTGGTGAAGAACTGCTCTGCTTGATACATGGTAACTCTGGACCTTGTTACAAAAAACAAACAGAAGAAAAACAAACCAAAACTATACAAAAAAATCCCTAACAACCCTTTCCAGTGAGAAAATACGAGAAAAAGAGAGCAGTAACACACTCATGCCCGTAACAGGGTGATTTCGAGTGGCTTGAAAGAGCAAGTGGTGAGGCACTCTCAAATGCAGCTTGCAACTCAAATACTCCAGCTACTGTTTATGCTCACACTCTTATAGAACATATTACCAGAGATGTATATTTAAATCTTACCTTGCAACACATGGAGAAGGTGCTTGTGTTACTCTGGAAGAACTCTGCAGCAAGGAACAGAACTCCTGTTAGGTTTGGGCTAATCAGCTAACACCAGTACCTACTGCAGCCATCCAGCTGGCAGCTTAGTAGCACACACGCCCTACCTTAAAGTGGTCGTTCAGGATCCTGGAATACTTTATTGCAGTGTCTTTTTTGTAACAAAACATTGCCATATGCAGAAGGGACTGGCAGCGCATGCTGTGAACAGAAACACACCCAAATGTCAGCGCCTCTGCTTGCTGTAGCCTGCTCGGCAGCCACCAGCCCTGGGGAGGGTCAGGCACACATCCTCTGTGCTAGGAAGTCAAGAAAGCTCAGACTTTCTCCTCCTCCAGCTCATCTTAAAAAAATGACTCTGTGAAAAAAAATCAAGCGGAGAAAAAAACAGACAAGGAAGGGCCACGTCTGGTCTTTTATGTAAACAGATGCCTGCCCTCTTATAGGTGCCACAGGAGGAGTAAGGCCTCATTCAGAAGTGCCTTGGCTATATTCAGCTGCACCTTGGCCTCAACCATGGGCAGCCAAATAGCATTCTTTCAAATAGCATTCTTTCCCCATAGGTGAAAGCCCTTATGCACTCTCCAGTTACCAGCAGATCAAATTTTAGAGCCTGTGCCTTTCACGGGTGGTCCCTTGGGATACCCCAGCTCACTTCCAGTTCACTCTGCTTTTTATACTGTGAGGGTTTTTTTTTTATCTTGCAGAACTCTATTTCCCATTTAAATCATTCCTTTGCCCCTGAAAGTAATGGGTATATCACTCTATCAAGTCCAAAAACAGAGCATGAAGGCACAGAAAGCCAAGTACGCACCATAACACAGCAAAGATTTTTTCGTGTGCAGATGCTGAGGAGTCCATAAAGGGTTTCAATGTCATGATGAATCTAAGGAAACAAAATAAGCAGGAACTTGTCAGTCATCAGTGCTCTGAAGTCTCACCGTTTACAAAACAACATGTGCTTGCTGTTATCTCAAAGACCAGCCCAAAAGTCAACAGCCTGCCCGTAGCCCCAGCACGGAGCGCTCTGCATGACCCTGAGCAGAGGGCTGCAGCCCAAACGCCTCGTTTCCCACGCCCCTGTGGGACCCACTCTCCTCTGGCATCCATTAATGGGCAATATCCCTACGAGCAGATGCCCCCTGTGGGCCACCTACAGGCCTGGGGCCCAGAAGAGATGCCCTACTACTGAAGGTGAAGTATTAACTCAGGTTTTTCCGGACAAGACAGACATCTTAGTGGAAATTTTTCTTTTGGCAAAAACCAAATGAGCAAATCTCCTTTTTGAAAACAAAGCCACAACAGCATCTTGGACGTACAGTCCAAGATCAGAAAGTAAACAAGGTAATTTAAAAAGATTGAAATCTATCACAAAAAACACCCCGACAGCTGTTTCAGCTGTAAGGCAAGAAGTCACATCAGCTCTCAAAAGCAATCACATAATGTGTCATTTCAATATGAATAAACAGATACAGCTGTTTCTCCTTTATTCAGTACATGGTTCCTTGGGTTTGCTGCCTGTCTATGTCATACTACCTACATACTATGGCTGTGAAACTAAATGGGGAAGGGTGCTAAAAGAAACGCCATTAAAATGTACTGGTCTAAAGACACATGGGGGAAACCAGTAAAATCTGGCTTCAATCAAGCTGCCAGACACCTGAGGCACAAACTGTTCTTTCACATGCTGTATTGCTGCTTTGCCTTCTTTAACTGAAATACTGCTGAGCTCACATGCAAAAGCAACTTCAGATCTGGATAAAGTAAAAACTCCTTCATGTCCTTGACTGGCATAACCAGTGTCCTTTGGTGCACCTCAGCTGCAAGGCTGACATGCTGAGGAGGACAGGGTACCTACTTCTTCTGATAAGCACTGCTGAAACATTTCAAAGGATTTGTCTCTGGTGCCTCTCAATGGCCTGTCTGGTGCCTGTACAGCAACCTGAACTCTGCTCCAGGGTGGGAACTCAGAGCTGACACAGCTGCAAACAGGCAAGGTAGCTGACCCTTCCCCTCCAGACCTGCTGCCCAACCACCCCCCTTTGAGGGCCACTCACTTGATGAGCTCTATGGTGTCGCTGATGATGCTGTAAGCTGATTTTGGTGCTGGTGCATCCGATTCCAAGGCAACCCCATACTCAATGAAGGAAAGGGCAGCATCTAGATACTGAAAGGCCTTTCCAGTCTTGTTGGTCTGTTGGGAAAAAAATTCTGATTTTTAGACTAAGATAAAAAGGACTTATCTCAAGTGTGCCAGAATTCCTTTTTTCTCCCTAGTTAGGCAGGATATGAAGGAAGAAAAAGATGTGGGTCAGGTCACCAGGGGATAATTTTCACCACAGAAGCCCTAATACAGTCTCAGTCACCAGCTTTGTGTGCTCTGGCTGTTTGTATCTCTTCCTCTTGCTCAGTGTTTTCCTCGAGTCATTTATTATCTTCACATTTTTTGGATACTATTGTTTGCTCCTGGAGGCTTTCCCTTGTGAAAGGTGGATATGGGCTTTTCCACTGCAGTGTTCTCTCACTTCATTTTCACAGATAAATGGCAAGCAGCAAATGTACATCATCTGACTGAGTCATAATTAGCAACAATTAGGTCAATTCATGCACACTCTTAACTGCACATAGCAGAAAAAGTCAGTTACATCTGCAAAGGGCATTTCCAAGTCCCATTCACCAGCAACACAATTACTGTCAGGATCCTGACATTTCAGATCGTACAGCCTTGAAACCAACTGCTCCATTCACCCCACACGGGCTCCGTGACATCTCTGCAGAGCAAACAGCTGTGCTGACCTCAGACAACAGCAGCCCTGAAGCCTCTCCTCTAGGCACCTTCTGTACACGTGTTTGTAACGGAGGGAAGAACCTGAACACTTGGCAAATAGAGACAGCCTCCCCACGTAGGAGTTGAACACAGCCCAGACGTGGAGCAGGGAGGTGCTGTCAGCCAGTGAAGCCGATTCACATGCACACAGGTATCGGGTCTGAATGCAAGAGCTGGTGAATGCCTCCAAGACTTACCATTGCATCAGCTTTGTGCTTCAGCCTCTTGGCCTCTTCTATGTAGTATTCCATCGGATGCTGCCTGAATTGAGCACAGAGAGAGGAAAAACAGACAACAGAGGAAAAGGGTAGGATAATTATCAGTGTTACCTTGTTATGTAGAGAGTGCTTTGAGACCAAACATCTCATTTTGTTAAGTCTGTTAGAGCCTTATCAAACATGTTATAATTACAATAGTCACTGAAAGAATGTTGTCTGCATGTTCAGAAATACACAGCAGTTGAATGCACAGATAAAATGAATTGATTTATTAAAAAATGCATGTTAGAATAACATTGAAAACTTATATTTCAAAATAAAAAAACATTGGAGGTTACACTACTATGAGGTCAAGTTTACTTCTCTCCCATGGAAAGAGTAGTTACATGGTCTCCTATCATTCCTCAAGTACAACACTGCAAATACACTTTGACTGAAACAGATTAAACCTTGCAGTTTAGTTTACACTGTGACCACACATCTCAGGCCAAAAGTGCTTGCATTCAAACCGTCTGCTTACAAGAGCTATGACCACCAAGGCTTCCATAGGTCTTGGTCTCAATCAACACATAAATGAGGATAGTTGGACTGCACACAATTTTGTACACTGGGATATCCATTCCCTGTGCAAATGGCATACAGCCACATGTGCCCTACAAGTAAAGCAACTAAGGAGTCGTGCCTTCTCAGCAGCAGTCAGCTGCATGCTCAGCACCTTGTCACAGAGGAGTCTGCCACTTGTCAAGAACCAGAAACTCAAAACTCATCATTTGTAAGCAGGCACAAGAGACAACTCCTCTCAGCGTTAAAAACTACCTCATTTCTAGAGTGGTTTCCCTCAAACCAAGAACTGTTGCAATGAGACCTTTGCTTTGTGGTGGCTGGGATAAGTCCCAGAGAAAGCAGTACAGGGCAGGTCTCAGACACCTCTCCCTCTCTCTCTCCTCCCAAAAGAAGTGCTCATTAAGAAGCTGTCTCCAGGGCCAGCTCCATGTCTTCAGGAAGTAGAAATGAGTGGTGGAAGCTAAAAACTTACTTTTCGAACTTGAGTTGAGGTCTCCTTGGCTTGGAGGTACCATTTGGCAAAGAAGGCACTGGGAAAGGATTTGTGACATCACTTGCAGATCCCTGAAAAAACACAGAGTAGAGATAAGGCTGACTGGAGAGACATCTAAACCAATTCCAAAGCCTGGCTTTCCTAAATTTCAAGAGAAAATGTCTATTTGTCCCACGCATAGTCTGTTCTCCAGGCTCTCTCTCTCTTCTTCTTCCCCATCACCTCCTCTAATAATAGCAACACCAAACTGGCTTCTTCCTTGACTACATCTAAGTCTTAATACCATTCAAACTCTTCCCACACGTGAGGAAATTAAGTAGTAGGTTTCCTTACAAAAAGGTTAAGATAGCAGTAAGGCTGCAAGCAGCACGTTTTTCATGGCCACTAGCCAAGGCAGGAATGAGCAATATCCATTCACACTTATTTCCAGCTTAATTAACCACACAGCAATTGCCAATTCTCCATTACTAACTACATTACAAGGAAAAAGCAAGCAGTGAGAAGTAAGCTAATGCAGTGTGCAGAGTCTGGCTTAACAGACACACATCAACATCCTAGAGCACATGCACCTTGCCACCAGTAAACACCAATATAATTGAATTGTACAACCCCAAAATGCAAAGATCCAGCTGCAAGGATCACTAATGCTTTTGTAAACAAGCTATAAAACCTTACACCCAGATTGCAGTCAAAAGCACAGGTTGCTAGCTTCTTCATTTTAAGCAATCCACTCTTTCTTTTTTTGTAAACACACTTATTTTTACACCAATATTGTACTTGCAGTTGCCTATGGTCAGAAACAGTTACTACCATAAACATGACTCTACTGCCCTTGGTTTTTACATGGTCACTCCCCTTCTCATTATGTTCCACTGGTGAGATGAAAACAGATTATGGAAAGTCAGCAGAGAAGTTCCAGTGCAGGCTTTTGGACTAGCAACAGTCATTAAAGGGGCAAAAAATGCTTCAAAGAGCTTTCTCTGGTGGATGGTTTATCTTCCCTCCTTGTTAATATCCTCAGAGCACGTTTCTGAAGAGAATCACACTGTGCCCACAGGTTGCAGGAAACGTCCCACCAGCCATAGCAGATACCTACTTTGATACCCTTTGGCAGTTCAGCATGATTCCTCTCCACTTTCTTGTGCTTGGGCAGCAAAGGATCTTTGTGGTTGCTCTTGCTCCTGGCAGTGTTATCCATGGCAGGCAGCTCACCACTCTCATTTAGGGGTCTCTTTTGTGCCACCTTTGTTGATTTTGGTGCAGGATATGCAGGAGACATGGGTGGCAGTGGTGGTGGCAGCAGGAGATCTTTCTTCTGGGTTTCAAATGGAGTTTTTGATGTTCTGGAGATGGGAAGCAAATTCAGCAATTGGGATCAATATGGTGTACATACGGAGGGATTTTTAAAAAAACTTACACCGTGTACCAGTTTCTCAGGAAGTGAGTGATGACCTGTTAACATAAAGAATCCAACAAAAGCAAAATGAAACTTCAGAGATTGATTGTGCATTAGATAACACATCTTCAGCTGCCAACAACATACAAGCAAGTTGCTTTTCAAGCAAGAACAAGACTCAGGACTTATCCTTGGAGTAAAAACTTGCAACCAGATTATCAGGATGTTGCAAAAAAGGCATCCCTCCAACAGAGTTCCTTTTTACTGAAAGAGTGAGAGGCAACTACAGCAACTAGAATCCCTGGGACAAACCACCCAAACAGGCAAATGAACTGTGGCACTGCCACTCTCCCCCCGTTACGGCAGAGGAGATCTTCTGTGGCCAGAGACACTCATCCTGACACTTGATCCTGCACATGCTTTGACAGAATTAAACCGAGTAGTACCTTTAAGACTTGCCAGCTCAACTAGACAACACTTATGAAGTTGAGAGGATTCAAGTGAAGAATGCTCACTGGAAATGCTGTGCTTCTAAATGGCAGGGACTATCACATGTACTAACATGGTGGTTAGCAGGTTTCTGACCATCTGAAGTTAGGTTTATGAGGAAACTCTGGCAGCTCTAAGCAGCACTAAATCTAAACTTTGTTTCATCACTGCTTATTTGCATCATTTTTATTCAGCTTCTCAAAGTTCCCAAGAAAACACTGTGCAGTGAATCCCAGCTCATAACTGCAACATCAGAAAAGGAAGAAATCAAGTTAAATCCAGTAAAAAGATTGAAGTGTTGCACATCTTGTTTCATTCTACTGTGCATGGGACAGTCCTGCCCCTTTTCTACAATCCACTTTTCCCATGGTACAGTCCCTACTCGCTGCACACACGCTCCCCAGCTTCACTACCCTGGTACAGCTGATGCTCTGGAGGGAGCTATTTTACAATGTACAGCAGCATCCTCTGCCCTGATCCAGAGCTCTCTCTCCTCAGAAATGCAGCCTTTCCCTTCCCACTCAGGAAGCCAGAACATGGCTAAAAGTGATGCTCGTTTTCACTCAGAAAAAAAAGGAAGAATGAAGCCCAGAACTGAAGCTCTTCCATTACCACCACAGCTGAAATATCCCTTCCACCCAACTAAGTGTTCATTCCAACATCTCGCTGCTTTAAGAGTATGCCAGTGCTCTCTCTGCAGAAAAGCAGCCTAGTCGTGCTGTGAGGGCACAAACCCCAATGCTACACACCAATCCAAGTCAATAACTTAAATTCAGGCCACAATGAATGCAGTAGCCACCAACTTCATCAGCCATGCGAGCCTCTCCTCTCAGGAACACTGCCCGTTTGAGAACATGCTCTGGGAAGCATTTCCTCCAGCAAACACTTAGCCAAAATGCTGGCAGTGTGCTGCTCTGCAAACAGGGCAAGTGCCAGCAGCTCTACCAGAAGCACTGCAAATGCTATGCTGGAATACACGAAAAATTCCTGGCCACAAAGACCACCTGCCATTCCAGACTGAGTCACGACTCAAAAGGCACACTGGTTGTGGTTCGTTAGGTCTCATACAGCAAAGGCAGAGACAACACGATGATTGCAGTGGGGAAGAGAAATACTTACTGCCTCTGCTCACCTACAGATACACATCTGTGTTCTGGACTAGGCTTTGCACATTTTACCCTATACAAATCTGGGCCAGTGACCATGAAAAGCCTGTTGGCACCGTGGCATCTTGCGTTGGTTAGAGAAAAGGGAAGCTGCATATCCACGTGCTCCTGAAGCATCACATCTCAGCAGCTTTGCATGGCAGCAGGGTGAGGAACCAGAGGTCTGCAGCAGCCATCCCATTCACCTCTGCTCTCAGCTGGGAGAAGGCAGGTGCCATCCAGCACAGACACTGTCAGCACCAGCAGCCAGCAAGTGCTATTCAAGGCCTGTAGCCAGTGACAGCAAAAGTATCTGAGGAAGCAGACAGTATCAGCATTATCACCCGACTTTTTTCTTTCATCAGGACCTGCTCAATTAAGAAAACAGCCATGAGCACCAGGTGAAGATTTATGGATATACAGTTACACATGGTACACTGTCCTTTCCCACGAGGCTGTCAGAACTCCCTCTGCTGTGGTCATAACTGCTTAGCCACAGGAACAAGAGTCACAACTTCTGGACCAGCTTTCAGCTATTTCACTTGTCTACAGGTGGGAATCTGAGCAAGCAACTCAATTTGTCTGCACCTCAGTTTCTCCATATACAAAAATGTGTTCACATCACCTTCTCACCCTACAAAGCCTAAGAGTTTAAAGGCATGTGAACTATCATGAATCTGATAAAAACATTCTGCTGCTTCCCCATGCATGAGAGCACAAAATTCCCCAAAATAAGTATGAGAGCAGAATCTAGAATGCAGAACACACGAGCAAAGAAAAAGTTCATAGGACCACAGAATGGTTTAGGTTGGAAAGGACCTTTAAATGTCATCTAGCCCAAGCCCTCTGCAACGAGCAGTGACATCTTCAACTAGACTGCAAGCTCTCTTGCCATCCCCTGAAGCCCCTGAACTACATTGTGCAGAACAAGCACACCTTGCCAGATCATCTAGGGCAACCATGTGCTGGCAGATTACCACCACTCTAGTTTGGAGAAGGAGGAAACTCCTACACACCAGTAGGCAGGCAGTCTACCACGCTGTTTGCAACTCAAGCAATACATAATCTTTTTGCACAAATTTGTTTCCTTGCATTTGGTCTGAAAGACTGGAGTGCAAATCATTGCCTGCCAGCTTAGAAGGGAAAGTAGCACATGCACCACTAGCAATTAAACATCTTGCAGCATAAACAGATTTTTCGGAGCTACATGCAACATATGGACCAGAGCAAGCAGCAATGTAAACTGCAGAATGGACAAATTTGTGTTTAAAATGAAGTCTCCACTCCCATCTCAGCTGTTTGAAATCAGTACAAATGCCACATTTGTGGCAGTCAACACTTCTGCAGCAGTGTAAACCAAGTATGGGAGGACAACCAGCCACTGAAACATCAGCTTATGCTTGAATGATTAGAACCATTATCCTCAGCATTACGAACCAAGAGGAAGATAGGTGACACCCAAGACTCACTTCACATCTGCAACAAACAAAAAGGTAAATAAAATACATTCCCCTAGCCAAACGGTTGGTTCCAGGATGTAAGGACAAATCTGCAGCAGATGAAGTTTCAGAGGGCACATTATAAGCAAATTCACAAGTATACGGACAAGAGATAAAGTTGATTGCCTTAACATTTTAAAGAAAGACCCATTTTTATGCATTATTCTGCTACCCACCAGCGTATACTCACTTCAATTTACTGGAGTCTTTGTTAGCTGAAGGCTGCGATGATTTTGTTTCTTTTTCTGATTTCATTTTCTTCCTATCAATCTCCTCCACTTTCCTCTAACAAGAAAAAGAAAAATATGACTCAGGTTTTGAAAGTTCATGTGAAGAACAGACCAACACAGCTATGTTTTATCAATTCTGCTTAAAAAAAGATAAGATATTGGAACCAACTAAGCAGAAACGCAGAGCACAGCAGATATAGATTCCAGGCTCACTGACAAGTATCCTAAAATTACATCTAATCTACTTTTGCTTTAATAAATTAATTATTTTGTATTGGCCGGGATGGAACCGCTAAACCTCCTGTTGCTAGGAGTAATCAAAATTAAGGCACAGCCATTGCTGAAAATAAGCATTTCATCTGTTCTGGATAGGCTTTTTTTCCTGCTTCTTCCTGTATGAATCCTGTAGAAATGTATTCAGATTCCTCTTGGCAAAGGCATGAACTGCAAGCAGTTGTGTTTTGTGATGGGAAGGAAAAAAACTGTATTCACAGGAGAGTTAGATTACTCAAGATTCCCCAGATGTGTTGGGTTTTTCTGGCTTTATTAACAAGAATCTGACATAGGTGAAATTTTAAAGAGTTAAAATCATTGCCATTGTCTTCCAAAAGAACAGGAGACATTAAGGCAGAGTTGTAATAAATAATAATTTTAATTGCACTCCACAGATCTTACTTTACAAAGTGTGAAAATCATCAGCTCATCTGAATGAAACATTTCAGAATAATTTTCTATGAGCCAGGAAAATGTAAAAGAAGCTGCACTTATCAGTCAGCATTCCCCACAGTGCGCCTGGCGGTCCCAGAAAGCATTCCAGGACTTCGTCCCTCTCCAAGAGCACACCCAGGTTTCTGTCACTGCGACGGAGCTCAGCGGGCTGTGCTTGGCACAGTGTCTCTGGCAGTGTGCTCAGGGCAAGGCTCCAGCACCCACATCATGTCCTTAGACTGTGCCTGAGGTCGAACCCCAGCTGGCTGCCGTGAAGCCCGAGCCTCCGAGGACAGGGATGCACGCCGAGATATGGACAGCGAGGCTTTGAGGTGAGTCCTCCTGCAATCAGACACTCAGACTGCAAATGAAGACCTGTCTAACATCAAATAGCTCCTCTCTTGGGTCCTCAAGACAGCAGGAGAGGCGACAGATTTCCTGCCTGTTCACCTCTCTCCCACTGTGCTGTATGAAGGGCACTGCTGAGCTCTCCCACAATTCTTCACCGTCTCCCTGCTCTTCTCAGTTCTCCCCCACGAGCAGGCAAAGTTCAGAAAACTGACAAGACTAAATGAAACCCACATGGGAACCGTGGTTATTCACCCATATGTACTGAGCCACCTGCTCTGTGAGGAGGACCAGAAAGGCATGCAGGCACTGAAACATCCCCAGGGAACAGCGATCCACCGTACGGCCTGCTGCCAGCTCTGGGCAGCTGAACTACCTGGCTAGAAGCGTATCGACTGTCCCCTTCAGGACTGACCTTTCCAAAACCCACTTGTGAGTGACTACCAAACCAGTTAAATAAAAGGTTGTCCTGTAATTCAAGGGTAAGCAACCATTGTAGCTGAAGGACTCTGCAATGGGCTCTCTGGAAAGCCCCTCAGTGGACCCAGGCATCTTTTAAGTGTTGGCGTCTGTGCTGCTTCTGGAGGGGAAAGGACACAGCCCTACACAGCTCTGCTCAGGTTGAAAACCAGAGAAAACAACAGATGCTACTAGAAGGCTGGCCAGCTGCATGCCAAAAGCTCCTCTGACATAAGAGGGCTGGGGTTTTGATGTCTGAGAAAACTACTATCTCAAGAGAATACAGCAAAAAAAAAAAGCTTTAAAACATCAAAGTATTTGTTAGCTTGCAGGGCTTTTCATTTGCTCAGCTGATGACTTGTGACCAAGGAACATCTGTAACTTTATGGGAGGGAGTGTAAAGGTCCCAGCCTACGAAGCAGAAACGAACACTCCATATGGGTTTTTCAAGCACCATGTTGGTTCTTGTACAAACCCACCTCCACCTCTCACCTTCCTCTTTTGAAGGGTCTTGTCAGGAGTGTCTGTGGTTTTCCTCTTCAAGTCCTGCTTCCTTGCACCAGAGAGCTCCTTGGCCTCTGCTTTCTTCTGGTGACTGCCTTTCCCAGAGGGCTTGGGGACTCTTGACAGAAGAGGAAGATGTATTTTGACCATGAGGGACTGAGGGACGGGGGAGTCCCTCACTGGCGAGAGCAACTTATTCTCCATGACAGGTAAGGGAAGTTTCTCCTGGTGAAAATCCTCTCCAGTCAGGACAGCAGGCCTGTGGCTGCTCGTTCTGGTGGGCACTGTGCCCTGGCCTTGAGGAAGAGGACTGAGAACAAGATGCTCCTGGGTACTGCCAAGGAGAACATCTCTCATGAGCTTGGGGTCCAAGGAGGGTTTGGCATTGGCCTGGTGGGGGCTCTTGTGCTTTCTGTTCTCAGGGGGCTCTCCCAGTGTCGGCTTCAGGTCTTTTCTGTTACCAGATTTTGGCTTCCCTTTCGTTTTGACTTTGGGCTTGTCTCTGGAAGGCTGGTCTCTGACCTCAGAAGAGCCAGAGTCACTCTCCACTTTCAGGCCTCCCTTGGGCTCCTCGTGCACCGGGGCCTTGCTGGGCTTTTTAATACCCACAGTCTGCCTGGGCAAGGGCTCCCCAGCACGCACGGGAGACTTCTGGCAGTTGGGTCTGGCTGGAAGAGGAGTGTCCCAAGGAGCCCTGGCCGCTCGGCCGCAGCCTTTGTGATGAGGCTCCCGTGGCTCTGAGTGCTGGTGGGAGGAACTGCTGCTGACATCCTGCCCCTGCTCTCTGTGCTCCTCACAGCCATCCCCACGGGCCACTTCGCCGAGACTCTCTGTTGGCACTGCTGGTGGGTTCACCTTGGTTAGCCAGTTGTCGAGCTGCCACTTATTAGAAGTTGGTGCATCAGGCTACAGACAAAAAGAGAAAGGAAAGATGCAAGACCGCTGCCTTTATGGGCTGTTTCCACCCTCACACAGCTTACCACAGCCTGGTAAAATTTCCCCTTACTGTTCAAAGACCTTGCAAGTGAAAGACCATGAGACAGAGGGGATTCTCTAGCATGTGAACAGCAACACTTTAGAAACACAGACCTCACTTGTGTACAGGATCAAATGTGTTGCACAGCACTTCTGGATCTCTGCTAGCCCTACCTGCCACTCGGTAAGAGATCATTCTACATGAAGGCTTGTCACTAACCATCATCTTGGTTTGTCACTAACCAACACTGTTGTATAATCAGACAACACATTAAAAAAGCAGCAATTGTAAAAACAGATTAGGTGCTGTCCTTACAATGCTTTTGAAGTTATTTGGATATTCACTGCTTTGAAAATGGATGAGGAGCTGTGCCAGCTATCAGATCTCACTGAAGTCTGACAGGTAGGCTGTCAGGCTCCTGTAGTTTAATCTAAAGAAATCCATTTACCCCAAGAAATTATATAGCTAGCACACCACGTTCAACCTCTTCCAAGTCCTCTGCCTACACAACCCAACACCAGCCTCCCTCTGGGTCAAACAAGGCATGAGCAACAACCAAGGTGTGAAGGCCTCTGGAGTCATGGAAATGTTACAATGTGGTTGCTACAAGCTCTGCCTAACCTAACAGTAGTCTGACGAATTACAATAAAAGCAAACCCAACTAAGCCTAAAATGGACAAGGGAAGCTGCAGATCAGGGACATGATTCTCCAGGGCCCATTCTGAAAATACCATGCATGACTTAAATGTGTAGCTTACTATCTGAGCAACATCAGAGCATAGCTACACTCCTGCCCTCACTGATTCTCTCCAGCCACAGCTCTTGCTTCTAAGAAGAGCCACAACTCTTCCCTGAGAAGAGAGAGCCTAGTACATAAAAGATTTTCCAAAGCTAATGAATCCCTTCTGCCCTAGTTTTCTTTTCTATTCGGACTCGACTCACTGCACAACCTGTGAATAAACAAGACATGTCTTCAACTGTGATTGAGTGAGTCTATCTAGAAACCTGGTTTACCATGGCTTTGTAAGTAAAATTAAATCACAAATTCCACTAGATTTTTCAGATAAAACAAATCTGCTTTAATTTAGTTAGAATTTTAATTTACTAGCCTAGCCACTGAATAGCTGTATTTCTTTTTTTTGTCAAGCACTATAAAAACCTAACCAAAAGTCAGCTTTGGTTTATAATGTAGGTAGCTATCAGAAAGTGGCATAATCTGAACCTTTTCTAGCACTTCTACCAGTGGTTACCTGGTTTGTGATCTACACCATCATACAGGTTTTCCCCAAATCTAACAGATATTAAGAGACTTTAAAAAAAAAAACAAAAAACACCCAACCTATGCCTACAGGTCCTAAAGTCTATGCTTTTGCATGCAAAGAACTGAATATAAACAAACGAGCCTTCTGCACTAACTTGCTCCTTAAGCACTCTGGATGAACAGCTTGCTGAATAAAAAGAGAAAACAGTGAATGGCAAACAGATAGGACCTCACTGGAGTGAGAAGGATCTTACAATTTGCTATTTTCAGGACAAACCAGGTAGGATTTGGGAAAAGAGTTTAACATCTGTTTCCTTCCAAAGACTTCCACGTTGCAGAGGACAACATCTGTAAGTGAACTGCTGGAGGTTAAAGATGTATTAGATGTGAGATGAACAGACACCTTCTCACAGCTCGTTTTCTGAAATTCTCCCTGTTCATCTCTTTCTAAGGTAAGAGAGAGGAAAGACATGGATGGGGGGAAATAAACTGCAAGGTTTCTGTGCTCTGTGAGAGCACCTCAAAACTGTCAGTGACTGGTTTACATCAGCTGTGGTCGACAGAATACAACCATGCACTTCCCACTGGCCTTTTGCAAGCTGCAGGGACCACCTGACACCGTGGGACACGAGCATTTCTGCAGCAGGTTTTTAAAAGGTGCACGGTCTCAATTATCAGACGAAGGCAGCAAGTTCTGTTTGCCTGCCTTTCCCAATAAAAGCCCCAGAAATGCCAGTGCAGCACTACCAGAGTCAAATTCAACAGAGGAAAGTCCAGGCACATTCCAGCCCCTCCTGCAGGTCTGATCACTTCAGCTGTGATCTGGGAGAAGCTGAATCTGTCACTCATGCACAGAGCTCCAAGAAGGCAGCAGGTCTTCTTAATGTATCAGGAAACAGGTTTCACCCTGAAGCAGCCCCTAGCCTCAGCCCCCAGAAAAGCTGTATGGCAGAGGTGGGCCTCACACCCCCGACAAGCCCTGTTCCTCATCTGTGCCTTGTGTGTCACCAGTGAAGGCAGCAGTTCCTCCAGGAGTGCCAGACAATGATGCCAAAAAGAGAACGGGAAACACTTCAAGGTTAGGCACGTGAAAGTCTAATTATGCTGCTACTAAGGGTTATTTCACTGGCAAACTACAAGGGAAGCAAAAGGGCAAGAAAAATCTGATGGAGCAGAGATGTCAAGGGGACACCTGAACGATGGCAGTGTTTCGGGTCTCATGTCCTGACTGCACTCAGACGGCAGAGAGGCTGAGGCAAGAGGCTGTACTAAGCAGCCTCTGCATTTCACTGGCATTCACCTCGGGTGCTGATGCTCTCGGAGGGTCGTTGGCTTCACTGACACTCGAGTTGCTCTCCGTGTCTGAGTCTGAAGAGCTGTCTGAGTCACTGCTGCTCCCTGACTCCGGGCTGCTGGAATGTGCTGATGCCACACTCTTAGGCTGGGACTGTAGGGCACTGCAAGGCCACCATGAGATAAAATTAGAAAGCAGCATGGGTGAAGGCTACTTATTATATTGACATGGTAGTATTAAAGAAATAAAACTGAAACCCCATGGTTTGGCACTGCGAGGAGAGGGAAGAAGGCCAAAGAAGTGCATTGCCATACTCCAAAGATAAAGCACCGGAATAAAAAACCTCTGGGAATTCAACCTTCAGCTCTAATCCAGGCAGAGAAATACGTTAGCAGGACGTCACTGCTGTGATGTGAAGCTGAATTTAGCCAACCAAAGCTTAAAAACCAAGCAAAACATAAAAGTGCTTTTCTGAAAGCCCCAAAGCTCAAAATTTCGCAAAAAGGTTATGAGACAGAAACATACGTTCCAGGATGGTTTCTCTTTTTTATATACACCTTCTCAATTTTTCACTTCTTCATCTATGTTACTTGGTCAAGGTGCTGTAACTGTTTTGTATTTTTTTTAACAGTCATTTCAAGTGGAATCATTCTTTGAAACACCCTCCCCTACTCAAAAATCTTTTCCTCTGACAATGTCCACTGACAATGGGAGTGGATGGAACTGAGGGAAAGCCATGACTTCTATGCACAGCTTTTTCATTTTTAAATGGGCTTACAAAATCAAAATGTTGATTTTTTTTTTCTTTTTTACTTTGAACACTGTTTCCCACATCGGTATCAATGCACTTGTATGATTTGGCAGCAAGCTCCTTGCTGATCCAAACTGATCTCATGAGAGCACTATTTCAAGAGCTTGCAGGGCCGCAGACCATGCTGAGGACTGGCAAGCCTTCCGGCAGGTCTGACCATCACCCTGTGCTCGAAGAATCTAGATATCAAACTAAAAATGTATGACATTGCTCTCCTAAAGAAAAAATTCTGAGCTTCTTAACCTTTCTTCCTCTAACACCAGCACGTGGCTGTTCAGTCTGCCTTGAATACTGCTTCTCACTATCAATATGTGGCAGGAACTGCTTTTCATCAGCTGCCTTATCAGGAAGGGCTGAAACCACCTCAGTGAGTCAACTTAACCCTTTTCTGTTCACTCACTTGGCTGTTTTGGGCTTCCTTGTGAACTAAAACTGGACTCCTATTTCACCCATCATGACTACAGCTGAAAACCCCACTAGCTCCAGAGTGATCTACATATACACTGGTAATGGGAAGGAGGAGAAAAGAAGGGAAGAGCTGGGGAATTAAAATTTTGGTTCATAAGCAAAATCCAGGATGTCTGCATTATTAATTTCTAATTGGAGCTTTTCATAAAATCTAGACCAAATTTTCACCTGCATCTTCACGCAGCTAAAAACTAAAGCCTCTACCTACCAGAGAAACCAGGATCTCTTACCCATATACCCCATATATAAAGAGTAAGTTTGTTTTTCCCCCCCATTTAGTCTAGCTAGTAGTTTGGGAACAAACCTGTACCTTGGACGAGCAAGTGAAGAAGGTGCCTTTTCATCGACCTGTTTTGTTCACAAAAAGAGGAGAGGGGAGGAATGGTTAGCTTAAGGACATCAGAACAATGCAACAAGTTGTGATGATTTAAAAGGATGTCTGTGTGCCTAGTGTATAAAACATCTAAAACTGACTTGGTCGTCACCACTCTCTTCACTATCACTGAGGTGCAGGTCATCCTGGAGCATTCTGAAAGACAACCAGAAGATAAATATCAGCCAAAGCAGACACATATTCAAGCAGCAGACACTGAAAAAGACTTGATTTGTACTTGCCAAAATAAACCAGCCTCCCACATCCTTTTGATTATTTCACATGCTCAATCTGCTAAACCCTGTCATTAGCTGAAGGAATGACAGGTTGGTAACACTCAGCCTAGGCAGTTTACTGTGCTTCCCAACTGATCTCAGGACTTTTGGCAATGGAGGTCCGTACCATTGGCTGCCATCTACAGACAACAACGCTGCAGTTCTGTGAGGGGAATGCTCTTCAGCAAAGGTTCCCTAGCACACTAACACAGCAGGGCAGGGTGGAGCAAGTCTGACCCTTGCACAGCAAGAGACTAGATGGTATTGCCCTGCACCAGCTCCCCGAGGGACAGAAGGCATCACCTTTGCACCAGCAGCTGGGCATGTTCACACTCCCTTCTCTCAGGGGCTGCGAATATTTCGTCTGTCACAGGGGTTCTCTTTTTGCTCCTGAAGGTCAAGCCTATCTCCTATTTCTTTACTACACCATGAACCTCATGCTCCTGCACATCTCAGTGGTGACCACAACATTGAGAAGTTAGATGTGCACAGCAGCTTACAAGTGGGGAGACAGGAACTCTGTTTCAGAAACCCTATTTCAGCAGTAGGCTGCCTGCAAATGTTTCCCAAAGCATCATTTAGTTCTCTGCCTGCATTACCATGTCCTCAAAAGACTGGAAGAGAAGGATTTGTGGGGATGGATCCAAAGTCCTCCTGAACTATTATCCTCCTCTTTGGTAACCATGCACGCATCCCAAAAGGACTTGGAAAACAGACAGGCAAGACTCTTGCTATTCAAAAGCGCAGTGATTCAAATCTTGAAACCAGCTAGAGACTTGACTCCTCAACACAGAATTACACAAGTGTCACCCCAAAACTGGGATAAAAACCTTGGAGCTGAGACAGGGATTTTAATCAATCAGGTCAAGACTGTTTACTTCACCTCATTTCAAACTAAAGGCTCTCAGTGAGAAATTTCTCTCATGTCCAAATAAGAAAACTAAGCCTCCAACCCCTCATGACAACACTTTTTATAGCAAGAAAACAAATATGAAAGTTCCCCAGTGAACCACATCACCTTGGAAAAGTGGGGAGAGAGGGGGAAAGAATTAGCGTTCCTGAGGCTTGTTAAGAAAAGGAGAACTACACAAATCTTCACATTCTTTTAAGCCTCGTGTCAAATTATGAGCAAAGCAAAAAAAGATTTACAGCTCTGTGGGCCACCTCTAATGGCCCCAAGCCGCTTGCTTGTATGATTCTGTGACAACAGGAGTAAAAACCTTGAATAAAAAAGTGATTCCCGGATTTACACACTGTCCCCACTAACTAGACAAATTATTTTATACCAAAGCAGTCGACATGCACAGAGAAACTTTCACTGAAATAGGGCCATGTTTACTGCCAAAGCTGGCCACAGCTCCACAATGAGCATTTCCACAAACTGCAGTGCTGAACCTGCCCTCAGCCCACAGAGCAGGACAACAAGAACCCCCAAAGGTCTCCTGTGTCCAGCAGTACAGAGCCAAGCCCTCGCTGCACAGGTGACACCTCCTGCAAAGGACCCCACAGTCCCCAGGTACCTCTCACTGATACAGGAGAGGTTCTCAGTGCACAAGGGCCCTGCCTGACTACACTCCAAGACCTACATACTTTTCATGGTCAGGCATTTTGACTTTGCCATTGCCCTGGGACTGTCCTCCTCCATCTCCCAGCCTCCACTGCCTCAGTTCTTCATATGCCCTCTCAGTGAAATCACCTCCTGCCTTTTCTTTTAGAGCGAACCCTGAAGGGAAGGCCTGTGAGACACCACCCTGGGAAAGAAGGCCCCCCCATTTCCCCCAGCAGGGAGCTGCAGCAGTTGCCGTGGGGCTGCTGGGACAGCAGGAGGAGGAGGAGGAGGAGGAGGAAGGAGGATGACAGCGCAGCCGCTCTCCACAGCTCCAGGCCCGTCGGCCAAATGTCTACTGGCATCTCAGTGAGTCCTTCTTATTCTCTTCCTGACCTGTTAGGGAAGTAAGTCCCTCAAAGGTGATAATGAACCCACTGCCAGGGATGCTAAAAAGTTCTGGAAGTGTTTTGGGGTTTTGTTTTATTTTGCTTTAAGAATTATGGACTACGGATCTATTTCATGTGGGCGTAAGAGTGTAAAGCAATGAAACGCTACCTAGATCCTCTTACAAATCCAATTTAACAACTTGTAACAGAAAGGACTGTCTTTTTCACCCAAGCTGCTGGTAAATAAAATAAAAGAACATTGCAACTACTTAAGTTCAATTTAGGATAAAACCTTAAATGAGTCACACTTCTGCAAGGGTAGATGAAGACAGTTTTCCCAAAAGGAAAACTATTTAACAATTTGTTAAATAGGCTAGTTAAAGAAAATAAATCTCCTTTAATAATTTTAATGTTTTAATTAGCTCATGAGTTAGCAGATGCCAAGTTTTAATTTGCAGGACCCGTTGATTTGCAGCATATATACACACCATTCATCTCTCTGCAAAGCTATTTAAAAAGAGCTCTTTCAGCAAGAGAAGCAGCACTAAAATTAGTATTGCTTGCCAAAAAAAACCCCACTGGAAGCGCAGGCTGGTCCCTCTCTGCCAGCTGGGTTAAAGATGCATCACCAAGAATGAGCTTGGCATCTCCCCTTTTAAAGGAAGGGCTCCTTCCATTCCAGTGGAGGCAGGTGCTAACTCTGGGGCTGTATTCAAGAACGAAAGCCATCTGGGAAACCCTTGCTTACTCTGCAAAGCTGAATGCTTAATTTGGGCACACAGATGCACTGGGATTTCAACTTATAATTAACCAGCACAAACACTGTTTGTTTTCAGACAGCTACACTTTGTAACAGGAGCTATTCTAAGCAGCTGAATTTTCAGACAGTCACGTGCACTTTGAACACCAAAGCAAGCAATCCCTGTTGTGTTGTGCAAATGAAAACAAAAACAAAAGTGACGGGATGCATCAGTTCAAGGGAAAGATGCAGAGGAAGTCCCTGGGCAAATCTCACTTGACTCCATTCTGGACACACACTTAAGCCACTGTTCCTCCTGCTTCAGCTGCCTTTGCTGACTGTGGGTACAGGTAGCTGGCTCTGAAGTGCCCAAAAGGACGGCAAGTGGAGAGGGGATGTTGACTAAGGACAGAGCCACATACCATGCCAAATTTACAATTCTGGACCTTTGGGTAATAAAGGAGTCTTTTTAAGGTTCTTGCCTACAGTAAGAATCTCCTGTCTCTGCCACCTGGCAAACTGACTGAAGGGAAGTTTTACAAGCAGCTGAGAAGAGCTGAAATAAAGATGGCGGTTGTGGGGTAGCTGAGGATGAAGGCAGAGCCTGGAGCAGTTGAAACTAATATTTTTAATAGTACAATGGAAATTTCCAGAAATTGTTCATGAGAAGCAAGCTGGGGGGGAAGAAGGAGGAGCAAAATAAAGAATGGCTTCATAAAGAATGGACTGCTCAGCACGACACTATCCCATGCTCGCAGACAGCAAGGGCTGCCCTGCATGGTGCCAGCACAGGATGAAAAGGGTGGTTTTACAGAGCTTGAGTGTAAAATTCTCCAATCTCAACCAAGTTAGAGAGATGCTCTTCCTCTTACTTGTCCAGTTCTGTTTGCTGTTTTTAACTAAGTTGTTCATGAGAAGAAAAAGGAAAAACTGAGAGTAAGCTTTGTAGTCTGTAGTTTGCAGCCTTCCATGAACAACATATTATGGAGTAAAATGACGTCTTTATACATCACATGCCCTGATAAGCATTTAATGGTTTGGCAACTGCCCTGCACACAGGCCTCGTAGCCTTCCAGACATGGAAAGATTTCTGTTTATTACTTGGGGCTCAGAACCTATCAATGCTGCCATCTGGCCAGGTTAATCCTGAAAGACTAACGTCAGCCCACACAAAACTACTTTCAAGCAATTTCTGTAATTAACTTAATTAAAAGAAAACTAGTTTCACCTAGGCAGTACTTGTAAAACTTTTATAGTGATCATGCATAAACACCTTACACTGAGACTCAAATTCTAAGAAGCTGTCTTCTGAGAGAAAACTTAACGTGATAGGGAAAGGAAGAAATAAATAAGGAAAATAGAAATACATAAGTACTATTTTAAAAGCTACAGAACTTTCACCTTCACCTCACTTTACTAATATTCTAATAATACTAGCTAATATTCTAATAATATAAACTGAGGTTTTTAGAAAATCAATGGGAATTTTTTGCTGCTGTTATTGTTGGTTGGTTTAATAAAAATAGAAATGAAGAAAACATTTTTTAGAATACTTTTTCTTTGGAAATTGCAGAAAGTTATACTATACAATTGCTTTAAAACCTCACCCCTACTTTTCATAGTTTTCATAGCTGTAGCTTTGCTAGCCCTCACAGACTTCAAAGTGGCATGTAGAATAGATCAGATCCCTGTTTGCATCCCTTATGATTTATGCCGGTTGAACACATTATTAGTAGTTTGAATAGCACTGAGTTTGCCAAGATGTTAAGTAGCCACTGATGAAATGAGATGAGGCAAAGAAAAAAAAAAAAAGTCAATCTGGTATATTAATAGCCAAAGTTTTTTTTCTTTGGTTGTGCTTTGTTTTTAACAGTCATTACAATAACGAAACAGTAAAGTTTCTGTTTGTGAAAATTCCCTGCATTGAAATTCTCTGAGAAATATCAGACTGATAAAACCTTAACCTTTGGAATCATCCAGTAAATCAAATTTTCAATTAATTCTAGGTTCTCTTAAGTGACTGCACAGTAGAGATGGGAACCGAGTCTGGTTACTTACGATGTTCTTGGCTGAGAACCAGGCAACGTTTCTGAAGGTGTGTCATGCTGTCCTGTGAATCAAAAATGAACTGGTTGGTTTGATTTGCCTCATTTGCAGCATACTTTACCCCACGGTCTCTGAGCATCAAATTGGAAAGTCACTTCCTTTCCAGGATGTAATTGTTTGCCATTGAGATTATTCATCACTCAAAGGGATTTCCGAATGAAATACTGCTTGTTCTCTGCTGAACTTCTAGGGAAGGTCTGTATACCTCTCTTAAGCATTTCCTAAATTCATCACTATTCAAAAACCACAGGAAATCATGCTCCTTAAACAATGTAAGTGTTTGATGTTCTCAACACACAACACACAAAGCAGTCAATACACAACAAGGTGTTTTCTTTAGATTTCTACTTACTCTGAATCTGTGCTACAGGCCCAACAGGCTGTGATTCCTAGAAAGAAAGAACAAAGTGCAAATTGAGAATAAAATAAATCAACTCTCTCTTAATAGCAGCATATCAATGACTTGTTTTCTGCATATTACAAATATTTTTGTTGACAATAAAAATAAAATGGTTTTTTTTGGGCTGCAACAGAGATGAGATGCTTAGAATGTTCCTAAAAAGCAGTCACATTTGAAGTCCACAATTAGAACAAGTGTGTAAGTAAGTTATTAAACCTTTATTCATTCACCCTCCCCTCTGGCTCAAACATCCTACAACTCTAAAAATACTGAGCTTGCTTTAAAAATAAAAAAAAAAGAGGAAAGATAAATATGCTACCATATAGCCCACTCAAACAACTACTCAGAAGCAGAGTCAGATCTAATTCTCAGTAAAACAATGTGTTGCTAGCAGCTGTTATACAACTTGAGATCTGCTGTGCTTTCATTTATCTGAGAACTTCTAAAGATAATCTCTCCTAACAGCCTTTATCTATGAAAAGGGAACAAAATCAGATGAAAACGCACGAAAGAGACAGAAATTTAATTTATCTAATTTAATCAGAAGCCCTGGCAAAAAGAGGATGTTTTACCTTTGTTGGGAATGGAAATTTGGAAGGCTCTGCTGTACTAGGCGTGTGAATAGCTGTCAGAGGAGGTGGCCATGAGTGTGTCATTTCCTGGAAAGAGATTCAAAGAAGTGGCTTATAGTACTTTTGCAGATAATACACAGATAATAAGTTCTCTGCTTAAGAGATTCACATGGATGTACCAAAACAGTCCTTGTCAACTCTATCATAAACCCAAGAGACAGTATCAGAGCAAGACGCCCTCCTCTGAGCACAGCAGCCACACCATCAGGAGGTCTTGCTCCTTTTCTGGAAGCACACTTTCAGTTCCTGAGTAACAGCAATCTCAGCAGAGCCCACAGACAGTTAAGTGCTTACTCTGCTTGCAGGATTAGGCCTCAGCATTACAGCTATCACAGTTAAAAGGGAAAAGTAAACAAAACCCACATATGAGTAGTTCTGGAGTTTTCAAAGCATGTGACTTTCTGTTACAGAAGTTCTTACATCCCCTTGCAGCGAGAACACTCCGACAGGCTTTTCACCACTGGAAGAGGTCAGTCAGAGAGCTCTGCCTGCCAGCTCTTCCCCCTGCTGCTCTGCCTGGAACACGGGCTTTTGCTCTGACCGACCAAGACATCTTTGATGCAGAGCTCTGGGAAGTCCTTTCAAACCAAAGAGACTACCTGCTGTGCTATGTCGTGAGTGAATCCTTCTGCCCTTAGTCTCACCCACCACCACTACCAAGTACTGGCTTCCTGGGCTCAGCCAGGTCCAGGTGAGAGCAGAGCACAAACACCAGGGCCACGGGACAGGGCTTAGCAGGGGGAGCGACCTCCAGCCCCCCTCTTCTCGCACCACAGCGGGGCCCATGGAGCATGCTAAGCCTTGGCTCTCACTGCAGCAAGCACCTGTGAAAAGCCTGGCACAAGTAAGGATCCTTAGCTTGTACACACAATAAAATACTTCAGTGAGGGTTAATTTAGATGAGGCCTTTAAGGAAGCTGGCGCTCAGAAATTCAGAACCACCGTGTCTGTCTTCTGCGACTTCAACTTTTCTTGGCTCCTGATCCTCAAGTTTTAAATGCTGAAGAGCATGACAATCACTCCAAGACCTAAGTGAATTCATATGGCCTGCCACTCTCACCACCTTTCCAGGAATCCTTATCTCAGGACTTCCCTTCCAGTCCAACATCATCTGTACCCAAGGTGCACATCCAGCATCCCTATCCAGAGTGACTGTCATCATACCTGTTCCCTATCAACCTTCTGAAGAAAGCAGCACGAAGAGTAGCACAAGACTGAAACTTTGCTCAGCTAAAGAAGTTAGGAATTACGTTCATGCTGAATGCATCCCATGATGAACATGCACCACAGGGCCCGCTCAGGGGCTTAAAAGAAATTAATAAGGAACATGTCAGTACAGAGTACATTTTTGTACTTTTGGCACCAAATAGACCAAAGTGTGAAAATCTCTACTATGTCATAACTTACACAGTCACAGAGGCAGTTTTGGGTCAGGGCTGGCTCAGCTCTGCAGGACCAGACTAGGACTGGTGCAGGAGGAGCAGCCCAGCAGCAGTGCCCTGCAGAGGCTGGGGGGGAGGGTGCAGCCCTGTGCTCCCACGCAGGGCCACGCTTCTGGGTCTTGCTCTTGCACTGCACCATGCTGCACTGACATGCTGACAAAAACACTGGCCACACAACTTCAGGTGTATCCAAGGCTAACTTTTATCTTTACTTAGCATACCCCAAAACACACTTGTAGTGATTGCAACATCTGCTGACAGAACAGAAGCAGAGCAATATTTTTTCCCACACAGAGTAATGCATGCAAAATGGAAGCAAACACAAGAAATCTCTTATTTAAGAGCACCTACCTTCAAAATTTCTTCAATGGAGTGAACATCACCTGGGAAGGTTTGCTACGACAAAAAAAAGGCAAGCATCATGAGTTTGTTTTGGTTTTACCAGCTGACAGAAGACAGACGTCAAATATTTGCTTACTAACAGTTCTATAAATTTCTGTTCAGTACTAATCAAATGTTAGTAAGAACTAGAAGCCCCAGCAGAAGGGCAGTTAATAATGCACTTCTACAGTGTCTTTTGTTTTCAAGTCTTTAATAGAAGGTATATTCTAATGAAGATGAGAAGGAAGGAAAGTGAAACAGAGCTCATTAAACTGTTGCTCATCCAGCTGACAGGATTCCCCGTTTCATGACTTGCATTCTTCTACACACCTGGGTCCACACAGCAGAAGAAGGTGGCAGTATAAACCCCTAAGCTTGGAGAAGGCAAAGCAGAGGTGAGTTCAAGTGGAGGAATCATGCACCAAGCTTTGAATGCCAGCTCTCAGACTCATGGGAACATCAGCTGGCATTAAAAAACAGAAAAGCAATACCATTGTAACTTGTGTGGTTCAGAATAAAACCTTGAACATACTGACAGCTAGGAGCAACGTGGCGATTCCTGGAAAAGCCTGCAGCAGACCTGAATCTGGATTGAGGGAGTGCTCCTGCAGCTCCCCTACTGGTTTTGTTGTACTCCAGGCAGCGACCACCACACGCCCACTTTGCAGGGGCTCCCCAATGCAAGGACCCCTGAAAGGAGTCCAGCTCCCCAGTGGTGCCCTGGCACTCCACCACTGCCACTTGAAGGGGACCAGGAGACAGCTGTGGCAATGCCTGCAGCTGCCTTCAACCAGGCTCACAAGCCCAGGCACGATGAAGCTCAGCAAAATAGTACAAAGCAAAAGCCATGATAATATTTGCCAGTTCTATAACAAACAGCAGACATTGCAGCTTGTGCAAACACCTAAATCTACATCAGCAAAACCACTTAGGGGCTCCTGGAAGCACAAACCCCAGCACACACACGAGACTGTGTGTCTTCAGCGAGGGTACTGCTGGGCAAGGCAGGGGCTGGGCCAAATACAGCAAATGCATCCCTGGGGATTTGGGGAGCAGGGTGACCACACAGCCAGGGTGAGCAGCACTACCCGACAGAGCCCACCCACCCCAGGCCCAGGCTGCACGTGGCAGAAGTTGCTGCAGCAGCGGCACGGGCAGCACTGGGTGCTGGGGATGCTCTGCAGCAGGACCTGCACTGCTTCCCCACACTCACCCCACTGCCTGGCCATGGGAAACACCCCTTCCACAAATCAGCTTCCCAGCTACTAGCAAGGAGTGTGTTCTCAAAGTACGTGTCACCTACACATACTGGAACAGGCTGCCCAGAGAGGTTGTGGAGTCTCCTTCACTGGAGTCATTCAAAACCCGCCTGGACGCCTTCCTGTGTGATGTACTCTAGGTGACCCTGCTCTGGCAGGGGGGTTGGACTGGATGATCTTTCGAGGTCCCTTCCAACCCCTATGATTCTATGATTCTATGATTCTATGATTCTATGATTCTATCCTTTCCTAACTGATAGCATTAAAGGAAACCGGAATGAAAAACAACCAGAGAGCTGAGTAGTGACAATAAGTACCCTCAAGACCAGCTTCTTGCCCATAAACAAGTGGTGCAATGGAAGTGTCCAGCAACTGGCCTAACTGCCAAGAGGGAGAGGTCAGGAAGACATTCCTCATGTTTAAGAAAGAGGGCAGTGAGCTACAGCACTGAATCAGAAGGATCTTCTCCAGAACAAAGTAAAGAGCAAAGCAAGAAAATGCTTAACAAAGTCCAAAAGCATTGTCCTTAGCACCCTCACAGAAAGGTCACTCAGCTCTTCCCCATATGCTGCACTATTTACATTGGAGGGAGATGAGGAGATGAGTAATCTCTTCTTCCTGCAACCTCATTTGTCTATGTTGGCATAAAGCTCTCGTCGAGGCAGTGCTCATTTGACAAAGGTCTGACTTTTCTTCAGAAAATCACACATGGGTATAGCTGCTTCTGACCTTACTCACCCCGAGACACACGGAAGCTGAGGCACGGCCAGGGGAGTCACACAAACGAAAGCACAGGCCTGGAATGTAGCACAGCTGCAAAACTGCCCCACAGCAGGCAGGAGGAGGGGAGAGGGAAAGCAAACAGCAGGAACTCCCACCACATGGCAAGGGATTAGGATGCGTTTAGCTCGTGATGCCAGAAAGGGATCCCCCTCTCTCTTCCCAGCAAGCTTGACCTGGTAGCTCAACCATCTGATTTTCTGCTTACTTCAGTAACTGGTGAACAGCGCACACAGAAATCTGCATCTTGCTATAAAGAAAAGCAGCACTGAACTAGCAGAGTGCTTCAGAAAGCTCCTGAGATACCTCATGACAGCGCCACAGTAAAATCCCTTCCCACAGAACAGATAAGGTATCAAAATCCTGCTTGGATAAACATTCAAAAACTCTCCCTACAACACATTGATTGCAACAAATCAAAATCAGTTCGCTTCTCCCATTCCAGAAACTTAACTTTTATGAGGAGGTAACTAATGACAAAAGTGGAAATCAATCAACCTGAGAATCAGAGAACATGTGCAACAGCCAGTTTACACCTCTCTTAACCTTGCTGAACAACTCATTTCTTGATTTTTTTTCAGATAACTGTGAGGAGGGTCTGAATTGATACAGGTGTACATACAATGCGTATTTACAGTGCAGTTGTCCAGAGGATTCATCGTAAACCCAAAGGGCAGTGACTGTCTGCTGTCCTTCACAGGTCCAGTGGCTAAACAGAAACTGCTTTCCTCTTCACTGCACAAAATACTGCAGGAGTCTGCATTGGCAGCACAAGGACCTCTGTTTTTGGGGCTTCTTTTAAGACCAAACTTTTACTACATGACCCCAAAACACGTGCAGTTCTGGAGATACAGAACATAGGGTATCAGGGATGCTTAGAACTGCTTTTGCCTCTGGCTAGCAGGTTACTCCCAGAGCCACTAAGTTAGGACATAGTAGGAAGACCATGCCTCTTCTGGAGACTATTCCTGAAGAGCTTAAGTTTTCAGGCATCTTTAATCCCTGTTCTGCTATCCTGCTGCACCCTAGAACAGAAGAAGGACAACGCTTTGGCCAGCAATAAAATGTGCAATGGACAAACAACTGCTGTCCACAAATGGACTTGCAACATCCATATCAAATACATGGTGAAATGTTTGCTCTAAAGATTAAAATCACAGACTGTTCAGGACATGCACAGAAAATTTGTCTTCAGTACCCAAACCACAGCAAAACTGGTCAGAGCCATTTGACTGCACTGGAGAACCCTCCTGTGTCTCAGGTAGGACTGCAACTGCCACGGGTCTGCAGCCCCCGTGCCACAAGCCTGCTGGCCCTGCAGAAGGTGGGCACACACCCTTCCACTCCACCCCAGCTGGGGTGTTTGAGGCCTCTTCTCCTCACGCAAGGCTATGCATGCAGCACCTGAAGGAACAGGGCTTTTCTGCATGCTGTGTAAATTTTCTGCCCCTTGTTTTTCTCCCTTCAGGTCACACTTCAGCTGTGTTTCACTGTGTAAAATACCATTAAACCACAATTACTACCCAACAGCAAGGGCTGTCCTTGCATATTATAAGTAGAAGAGTTTATGGACAAGGAGGAATATGATGTTGCTCAAAGAGAATAAGACAAAGCAATCCCTGCAATGAGATCAGCCCCACTGAGGACTGTGGGTGTAGCAGTCCAAATACTCATGTTGCCATCTATCCTCACCTGCAGTTTTACAGCCTTTACAGGGAACACTGTAATGTATTCCCCTTGGACAACTCTATTTAAGCCCCATGCATATTTGTTGGCTGACAGTGACATCTGCACAGTCTCCAGCTAGTATTTCCTCATGGCACCTTCATACCCACTGTCAAGTTTGGGAATGATGCAAGACACCTCTGAGTGCAAAACGTTCTGATGGCCAAGGTCAAGGGCAATCACAGGTCATCCAGAACCACTGAATCACTGTGGGTTTTTTTTGGTTTTACTTTTTATACCAATGCTTCCATCCAAACTGATGCTGGCTTCAATAACAGCCACACCCTCCCCCAGCAATAATACTAACTTATATTCCAAAATGTCTGATTTTGTCCAGACGAAGGCCTGACTCCCAGTCATCCTGCAGTCTCCAAAAAAGTCTGCAGGGCAACACACGTCTCCATTTACCACCTCCCCCCAAAGCAGGCACTGCCAGAGCCACCCAGACACACACCCCAGCTGCAAGCGAGTACTCACATCTGACCCAAGACTCCAGCCCAGCTCCTCTCCTGATGCAGACTCTGGAGAGGTTAAATAAATGGATGCAACTTGGAAAGAAATCTTGTTCAGAAAGACAGAAAATTACTTTAAGGGATCAGGCAGAAAAAGCTGCTGCCTTTGTAATTTGCAGTGCTTATCCACAAAAATCCCAGGGAACAGCTATGTACACCATGCCTGTTATGTGACCAACAGTTTAAGGGATGAATTCAATATTCTACTCGTATGATAACATATCATGGGAGCTTGAAGAGCAAAGAGAAAGGTTTAAAAAGGTGATCAAGACAATAGCAAGTATCTCTTTGATGAGGACTTATGGACTTAATCGGAATAACAGGCATCTCACAACATCAAGGGAAAGTTTGGTTTTAAGGCTTTTGGAACAAAAAGCTTGATAAACATAAAGCTTTGGCTACAGAAAAATGCAGACACTACCGTTAATATGCCTCTTAAGCCCCCCCCCCCAGTTATTAAAGAACATGCAACACGCTATTGAAATGGTGAGACATGGCCACATTCCCTCCTTTTTATAATTTTTGCAATATATACATTTTTCCAATTCATGAACCTACACAGCCTGCTGATGAAGACCAACTACTGTTTTCCAAAGACAGAGCATCTCAAGGTTAACAAAAGACAGTACTACAAGGTCATATGCTTGAAGTACTGTTGAGTATAGCTGAAGTTATCCAAAAAGGATAACTCAACATAACTTCAATATAATAGCTCAGCCCAGCATGACGTACAGCCCAC